CTTACTGTAATTTTATTGTTACTAAATATAAAATTTTGTCTTTTTCCATTTGGGGGAACATTTTAAAGATAATTTGTTGTATATACCTTATTATTACCTAATTAATGGTCGTCATTTTCTCATGGACTCTTGGAATAGCTTGCAAATTGATTTCTCAGCACAATTTCAACCCCCTCCACTTTACTCTGGTCTATCCCACTTTATTTTTTTTTTATTTTTATTTTTTTTATTTTATTTTTTTAAAATTTTTTATTTATTATTTCTAGGAGAGAGAAAGAGTGAGCAGGGGAGGGTCAGAGAGAGAGGGCGATACAGATTCTGAAATAGACCCCAGGCTCTGAGCTGGCAGTCAGCACAGAGCCCGACGCGGGGCTTGAACCCACGAACCGCGAGGTCATGAGTAAGCGAAAGTCGGACGCTTAACCGACTAAGCCACCCAGGCGCCCCTGGTCTATCCCACTTTAAAGATTTTCTTTTTGGGGGCCTCTGAGTGGCTCAGTCGTTAAGCATCTGACTTTGGCTCGGGTCAAAATTTCACAGTTCATGAGTCTGAGTCCCCACATCTGGTGATCTTGGGCCCCACTTCAAGTGAGCCCCACTTCTCTCTCTCTCTTTCTCTCTCTCTTATTCTCCCTCTGCCCCTCCTGGGACTCACTCTCTCCCCCTTGCACTTTTGCGCCCTCTCACTTTCTCTCTCTCAAAAAACAAAAACAAAAATAAAACAACAACAACAACAAAAAAAAAACCCAAGATTTTAGATGTGGTTCAGTTGGTTAAGCATCCAAAATTTTCGGCTCTGATGTTGAGGCTCCTTAGTTTGAGCTACACATCGGGCTCTGTGCTGACAGCTCAGAGCCTGGAGCCTGCTTCAGATTCTATGTCGCCTTCTCTCTCTCCCCCTCCACAGCTTGTGTTCTGTCTCTCTCTGTCTCAAAAATAAATAAAAAAAATTTAAAAACCTCAAGATTTAATTTTTAAAAGTTTTTCTAAGTAATCTCCATACCCAACGTGGGGCTCAAATTTACAACCCCAAGATTAGGAGTCAAATGTTCTAGAGGCTGAGCCAGCCATGTGCCCCAGTCTACCCCAGTTTAAAAGAAGTGAACACAGGTGCACCTGGGTGGCTCAGTCTGTTAAGTGTCCAACTCTTGATTTGGGCTCAGGTCATGACCTCATGGTTTGTGGGTTCGAGCCCCATGTCACGCTCTACACTGATAGCATGGATCCTGCTTGGGGTTCTCTAGCTCTCTCTCTGCCCCTCCCCTACTTGCATGAGGTCTCTCAAAATAAACCTTAAAAAAAATTAGAGAAGGGGTGCCTGGATGGCTCAGTCAGTTAAGCATCCGAGTTTGGCTCAAATCATGACCTCACAGTTCAGTTTGTGAGTTTGAGTCCCACATAGGGCTCTAGGCTCACAGCCTGGAGACTGCTTCAGGTCCTGTCTCCCTCTGCCTGTGCCCCTCCCCTGTGTTCACTCTTTCTCTCAAAAATAAACATTAAAAAATAATAATAAAAATAAAAGAAGTGAACGCAAAGTGATAAAACTGAATACAAATATGACATTGTCTTTCCCTTCCTCAACGTATTTTGAGTGGGGACTAATAACTATAGCATAATGTCCAAACTCCCCAGCATATCAGTAAGGGGCTTAATGATTTGGACCCACCACTTTTTGCCCATTGACACCTACCCCTCTAGCTTTCCCAAATTTCTTACAAACTCATGCCACATGCAGTTGTCTCAACCTGTAATGCCCTTCCTGTAGCTCAACTGGAACACTGCCACTAGGCTTCTAAAGTTCATGTACTGTCCCACTTCCCTTGGAAAAATTTCAAGGTGTTCCCCGGTCTCTGCCTTTAAAGCACCATGTTCATCCAAGCATGCGCTTTTATCAATAGTTTTAAAAGTCTGCAAATGTGGCTAGTAATATTGTTTTATATTTGTACTTCCAGTGCTTAAGAGAGCATCAGCTTGAATCCAAAAATGGATGAATGGATACCTCCCTGAAGCTGTTCCCACCTTCTGTAGGCAATTGATTGGTTTCCTTCTTCCATTCTCTAATACTGTCTATATATTTCTAGAATAGTATTTATTACTTTATATGTCTATCTCTCCAATATAGTCTGTGAGTAGATACCATTCTTTCCTATTCTTGTAATTTCTGCATCTAGCATATAATATGCCCTGAAAAACTTGAAAGCATGCTTCTCAGACTTGTGGGTGGTACTATATTTTATGTGTCGAATGCCAGACTTTTGATTCAAAAAGGCCTGGGTTTTTGTTTATTCATGATATGGAAAGGCTGGAAAGACGGACCCAAACAAGCCAAATTAAATTTTGCAGAAAGAGGTATAAAGCTCCAAGTTTTGGTACACATTAGGTTTTTATTTGCAAGGTCAGAGAGAACTGAATCAATAGTATGACATGACTGAAAATAAAACACAGAAACACATGCTATGAATTAATAAAACACAGAAGCTGGAGCAAGAGAGTTGTGCCTTGTACTATGAACTCTTCAGATGTATAATTTATGGGGCATATTCACAAAATAGGAAAATTCCAGAATTGGGTATATGGGCTCATAAGTAGCCTGACAACTACAAAAATAGGAATAGTCAGAAGAATAGGAATGCCTGGCTTGGGAAAAAGAAGCAAAGAGAGCAAGGGAGACAGGCTATGTGGTGTCAGTTCAAGGGTTCCAGATCCCATTCAACCTACTTTTTTTTTATTATTAGGTCTATATATGTGCCTCACTTTACAAATTTCCTCATTTGTAAATTACCTGAAATCACTCAGCTAACAGAGCTAGGGCTGAACTCCGATCCAGTATACTGAGCTGCTGGAGGAGTTGGGTGTCTTTAAAATGTTTACCTGTATAGCATTTTCCTTTTTTTTTAAACCCCTAGTTGTATTACCAAATGCATCAGTACCTCATAGATTGCAACTAGTCATGAGCCTTCTGTTCATCACTGGAAGCATTTGGGGAGAAAACTCATCACAGATGGATCGGAGAGTCTTGTATTTGGTTCGAGTTTAGACTTGAAAACCTAAGTTATTTCATACACTAATACTTCAAAATTCTCTGATAGAACAACTACTTGAATTAATGCATAACTACTTTATAATGATGCAGTGCAGTTTGAGCTCAGGAGTCTGACTGTCTGATTTGAATTCCTGCTCTGCCACCTGCCAGCGAAGAGGCCTTGGGCACATTTTTAGCCTCTCTTGTCCTCGGTATCCTCATTTGTAAAAGGGATAAATAATATTTAACTCATAAAGTTGTTGTGAGTGCAAAGACCTAGCAAACAGAACTCAACAAACATGAGTCTAGCTGTGTGTATGGTATCGAAAGAGATTGTCAAAGGAGAGGGTATGCAGTAAGAAGAGTCTAAGGGCAGAACCATGGAGAACACCAACATTTAGCTGGCGTACTGGGTTGAATAGTATTCCTCCACAAACTCTTGTTCCCTGGAAACCTTATTTGGAATTAGGGTCTTTGCTGATATAACCAAGTTAAATTGGGTTAGGATTAGCACCCAAATCCAATGACTGGTATTCCTATAAGAGGGAAATCTGGACGCAGAGAGATACACGGAAGGAAAATGATAGGAAAACATGGGGACAGGACTGTCATATGAAGACCAGAGACACAGGGAAGGCCAGGTGGCCATACACCCAAGGACTGTAGGCAACCACCAGAAGCCAGAAAGAGGCAAAGAATGATCCTCTCCAAGAGCCTTCAGAGAGCATGACCTTGCCAACACCTTCATCTAGGATTTCTAGCTTCCAGAACTGCAAGAATAAATGTCTCCTGTTTTAGGCCACGCAGTTTGTCCCACTTCGTTATGACATCCCTAGGAAACGAATACAGTTGGTGAACAGTCATGGAAAACACAGGATGGGTGAGAACACTTCATGGTTTCAAAACTGTTTCATAAATATATCTCAACAGATCTTCACAAATACCTTGTGAAGTAGCAGTAAAGTTTACAGGTTAGAAAACAGATCATCAGAAGGATTAGAAATTATATAGAAGGTGGCAGAAGAAACAGAATTTCATCCCGAGTGAAGCATCCTCTTCACTCTGACCCTGTGAAGCCAAATGCTTCATCCTTTCCCAGCCTTTTTGAAGCTTCCTTCCCTATCACAATTCCAACGTCATCCTCTGCCCCCTGGCAATCTGCTTTCAGGAGGATCACTGGGCAGTGAATTCTACATGAATTACATCGTCTAACCTTTTGCATTGTACAGCCTTAACCCTTAAAAGGGAAACACCTCCATGTTATACAATTCCAACTGTGTGCCCGTACTGGCACAGAAAGATTGACCAACTTTCCTCGGATTACACAGCTCCTCAGTTTTTGAGTAAACAGAAACCCTCGGTTCAATGTTCCTTCATTAAACTACCCTGTCTGTCCCTGCATAGAGATTCGTAGATACTACTTTCCTTGCTTTATTTCGGATTAAAATGAACACTTTCAGCGGAATGACTACCAAAAAGATTTTAAGTTACTTAATCTCTTTGAGCTTCAGTTGGCACAGGTAAGAAGATAACACTGATTCTCATTATTTTCTGCGAAGCATAAACGATAGGCAAAACACCTGGCTCAACAAATTTTGCCCCAAGACAGCACAAATCAAGGTTTTGGGTTTGTTGTTTTTTCCTGTGCTCATCCGCCGGCACCTAGAGACCAGCGACGCCCCCCAGCTCGGCAGCGGAGCCTGGGAAGCCTCCGCCCCGGGCGCTATTTGAGGGCGTGGCCGGTGGGAAGGACCCCGTTCCCTCCGCCCCCCTCGGGGTGCCCGGCGCGCCTGATCGCTTCGGCATTTTGCTCATCCCGCTCCCCGGTCCGCGGCCGCCCGTGTTTCTTCTAACTTAGTACCGGAGACGGGGACGGATTGGAGGATTTGAATCCGACGTGGAGTGAGGCACAGCCCGGGACAGCCCGGGCCCGGAGCGCCGCGGCCACTCGAGGTCCCCGCCGTCGCCACGCCTGCGCATTGTCGCTTCGGTCCCGCCCCTCCGAGAGCCGGAGCTGGTCGGTCTTGGGGCTGTGCTCTCCTCGGGACTGTTCTCCTTATTACCATGCCTCTGTATGAAGGCCTGGGGAGCGGCGGGGAGAAAACGGCAGTCGTGATAGACCTAGGAGAGGCTTTTACCAAGTGAGTGGCGGCGGCGCTGGCTGCGGTCGTCCCCGGGGGAGGGCGGGTGGTCGAGGATCGGCCCGAGTCCTCCCAGGCTCGCAGGGCAGGTCGCCGGGTCTCCACTTTTCCCTCCCGCACCTCCGCGAGGGACGACGGCCCGTATTACTTATTTTCAACATGGGGGATGCGAATCCCGAGGATGCGGTTCTGACTCTTAGGCCCAGGAAGGTTCGGGAGAATTGTCTTCCCGCTGGTGTCTTGCATGCAGGGGATGACAGCGATGGCTTAGACCCTTATCCCGGTCTTGTTTGCTTGGGAAGGTAGCAGCCGAACTGTAACGTAGACATTTATTGAATGGAGCGGCTGTTGGTACTGGAAATTCAAGTACAAGACAGAGTCATCGTTCCCTAAGAGTAGGGAGTCAAGTTAGAGAGACTGCACACATAAACAAAGAGGTGAAACCCTGTAGGTAAGACTCGAGATCGTTTGTTGCACCGTCCCCCTCACCGCCCTCCCGACTCCAAAGTCTTAGATTAGGAAATTTGACCTGTATAAAGGTAATTTGTAAACACTAGAGTGTTAAGTTTTCAATCTTTTGGATAGCGCAGATCCCTTTGACGACAGAAAGGAAACCACAGACCTACAAACCTTAAAATATTTGCATACGGTTTCAGAGCTTGTCCACCATCACAGTGGTCCTTGGACTTCAGGTTGAGAGCCCTTGTACTAGGTTCAAGAGAGGAAAGTAACAGCCAGAATTGCCTCATACAGATATTTGAAGTAGAAACATCTGAAAATCTTCATATATATCTGAACATTGCCAAATCTATAGCAGGTGTTTAATAATTGTTGAGTAAGTGGTCAGAACTGCCTATTTAAGAATTAGACCTCAGGTGTTCCAGAACTGGATTAAACAGTTATCGGTCCATGACATTTTTAGTGTTCTATGCAAGATCTTTATTTATGTTTTCTTATTTTTTTACAAAAACTTAACATTTATTATTGAGAGAGAGAGACAGAGCATGAGCATGGGAGGGGTAGAGAGAGGGGGAGACAGAATCTGAAGCAGGCTCCAGGCTCTGAGCTGTCAGCACAGAGCCCTACGCGGGACTCGAACCCACAAAAGGGGAGATCATGACCTGAGTCAAAGTCAGACGCTCAACTGACTGAGCCACCCAGGCATCCCTATGTTTTCTTATTTTAAAGGTTTTAACAGCATAATAAATACTAAATACCTTGAGGCTGACACCCACAGATAATTACTCTGGCTATGAAGAAATGAGAAGCAGAAAGCTACTATACAGGAAGGTGATAATTGACAAAGACAACAGGAGGGTGATAAGGTGAATTTCTGAAGTAAAAGAAAGGAATTGAAATCAACCAGTGGGTTGTTGCATCCTGGGGAATTTGAGGAGTACTGGTGTAAGTAAACATGATGTGACTAGTAGAAGACAGAAAGAACTATTTGGGGATAGAGCAGTACTGAAAACTAGATGGGACAAGAAGAGATAATGTTAAAACTAAACGTACATGGTAATAATTTTTAGCAGCATTTTTGAAAAAGCTTTGTTATACTAACATGAAACATACATGAAAATACCTAAGAACTCAGGAGAATCTTTTTTTTTAATTAAAAAAATTTTTTTTTTAAATTTTAAGATGAAATAGGGGCTCCTGGGTGCCACAGTCGGTTAAGAATCCGAATTCAGCTCAGGTCATGATCTCACAGTTCATGGGTTTGAGCCCCACATCTGGCTTGTGCTGACAGCTCAGAGCCTGGAGTCTGCTTTGGATTCTTTATCTCCCAAATCTCTCTCTGCCCTACCCTGCTTGCGTTTTGTCTCTCAAAAATAAATATAAATAAATAAATGATAAGAGAATGAAATATACAGTTTTAAAATAACAGTGAAGATTATAATAATACGGGCAGAAGCTTATTGTATGAGTTCATGATGTGTGCGCAGTGTGATTATGTCAGATATGCATAGTGTAAAAAAAGTAGACCAGAGGCGCCTGGGTGGCTCTGTTAGTTTAGCATTCAACTTCAGCTCAGGTCATGATCTCGCAGTTTGTGTGTTCAAGCCCTGCGTCGGACTCTGTGCTGACAGCTCAGAGTCTGGAGCCTGCTTCAGATTCTGTCTCCCTCTCTCTGCCCCTCCCTGCCCCTCACTTTCTCTTTCTCTCTCTCAAAAATAAACAAACATTAAAAACATTAAAAAAAAAAATAGACCAAAAGCAAACACATCAGTATGGAATCTAATAATATTAGAATGATGGAATTATGAGTAACTCATAATTATAACACTGGATTTCTACTATATTATGTGATTTCATTCACACATTATGTGATTTCATTCACACATAATGTGGTAGAAATCCAGGGCTATAAAGATATGCCGCCTGAAACTAAGGTAAAATTTATTTTTTAAAAAAAGTTTGTTTATTTATTTTGAGAGAGATCAGGGGAAGGGCAGAGAGAGGGAGAATCCCAAGGAGGCTCCATGCGGTGAGCATGAACTATGAACTAATGATCTGAGCTGAAATCATGAGTTAGATGTTTAACTGACTGAACCACCTAGACACCCTAGGTAAAATTTAAAACTAAAAAAAAGTACATACTGATCTGAAAATCTGAAATAGTATGTATACTGGTTTACAGTATCACTAATTTGAAACATATTTTTACCTGTAATACACAGTAATGGATTGGATGGTATTAATTTCTTCTCAGTTTCTTTGTCCCTATGAATTCATCAGAGATGTTTCCATATGTTTTTTGTGACCACTGCTTTGAAACAAAGGCAGAAAAACTTGTTTCTGTAACAAACACACAGAAAGAATGTTACAATAAGTTGAATGTTTCAATTTTCTATATATTTGCAGGTGTGGATTTGCTGGAGAAACTGGTCCAAGATGCATAATTCCTAGTGTGGTAAAAAAAGCTGGCTTGCCTAAGGTATTTTTTTTCAACAATTTAGCAAAACAAATGCTATATTGTAAAATATTTTTAATGTTTTTATTTTCTATTTATTTTTATTTCTGAGAGAGAGACAGACAGACAGACAGCATGAGCAGGGAAGGGTCAGAGAGAGAGAGAGACACAAAATCAGAAACAGGCTCCAGGCTCTGAGCTAGCTGTCAGCACAGAGCCTGACGCGGGGCTCAAACCCACAAACCATGAGATCATGACCTGAGATGAAGTCAGATGCTTAACCAACTGAGCCACCCAGGCGCCCCTGTAAAATATTTTTAAAAAATGCTTATTGGGGTGCCTGGGTGGCTCAGTCGAGTAAGTATCTGACTTTGGCTCAGGTCATGATCTCATGGGTCATGAGTTCAAGCCCCACATCGGGCTCTGTGCTGGCAGCCTGGAGCCTGCTTCAGATTCTGTGTCTCCCTTTCTCTTTGCTCCTCCCCTGATCACTCTCTCTCTCTCTCTCTTTCTCTCAAAAATAAACGAACATTAACATTTTTTAAAAAATTTAAAAATGTTTATTATTTTGAGAGAGAGAGTCAGAGAACCCGCACACCTGAGCAGGGAGGGACAGAGAGAGAGAGGAAGAGTGAGAATCCCAGAATCCCAAGTAGGTTTTGCCCTGTAAGCACAGAACCCAATGTGGGACATGATCTCACAAACCATGATGAGATCATGACCTGAGTTGAAATCAAGAGTTGGATGCTTACCCAAACCGACTGAGTCACCCATGTGCCCCTGTAAAGTATTTTTTAATGTGACTTCAAGTAAGATTGAGTAGAACAGGGGCGCCTGGGTGGCTTAGTTGGTTAAGCGTCTGACTTTCGCTTAGGTCATGATCTCATGGTTCGTAGGTTCAAGCCCCGTGTCGAGCTCTATGCTAACTGCCAGCTCGGAACCTGGAGCCTGTTTCGGAGTCTGTATCACCCTCTCTCTGACCTTCCCCTGCTCATGCTGTCTCTCTCTCTCTCTCTTTCTCTCCTAGAAATAAATAAAAAAATATTAAAAAAAAAAAAAGATTGAGTAGAACAGTGCTAAATATATAACTTATGACTGTATTCCAAGAAAAATTTTTTGAATCTTTATTTCATTTTAAAAGTTTCCTTCCAAAGCTAATTTGACAGATTAGGAATTATGGAACAAGAGGAAGAATAATTTTGCCTGCCATAGAATACACCCATTAAAGTCAAATACAGATGCTCCTGCCCTAACTTAATATTTGCATTCCTGAAAAACTTCCCTTTGATCACAAATGGGAAAAACAGGGCTGAGGCAGACCATATAAAACCCATGTAACTTTGCAAAATAATAATTGATCCCTCAAGAAAAAATTGGAACAGCTTTGACTTGCAACTGAGAGTGGCTGGAGGCTCTCTCAGAGATATTAAAAATAAAATGAAATGATGGCTTGAAAATGTTGGTCAGTGGGTGTTCAGAAAGTGCATATGGAAGGGAGTTGTAAGCCTATGGGGCTGTTATTAAGGTGGAATCAAGAGGAAATGCAGCCCAATAAAGAGTCATGAAAGGGTCTGCTCGGGAAAGGGAGCTCCGGTACAGAAAATCATTTAAGCTTTGGAAAAATAGATCTGAAAGGATGCCTGCCTGTGTGGTTACTGAGGCGACAACTCTCTTGATAAAACTTAATAACTGTTATCATAATTCTAGCTCCTCTTGCCTAACATGAACTAGTAGCAATCATAATACAAATTGCATGTTATGCAGACATTATTCCCTTATTCAACAATGGGATATGATCATATTTGGTTTTATAAAAGCACATATTGTAGCAGAATAGGTTAGTACATTAATTTGTATTTGGTATTGAGATGCATCATTAAGATCAATATGAAATACATTGATTCAGAAGGCTTTTTAATTATGCTTGATTAGGGAATCAATTTATTGATCGCAAAATTTTCTGCAAATCCTTGGATAAGCGTTAATATAATAGATACTTGTGGTGTGGTATTCAAAATGTCATGGAAGTTCCTTTCTATTCACTTTTTATGTTGTTTTGCTTTATAATAATTGATTTTAATGTGATACTTGATAAGTTACTAGATAGATTCCTGACTGGACTGAGAACTTTAACATTCTCATTGACACTTTTCTTACTGCTCTCAGCTTTTTTTTTTTTTTTTTTTTTGTTTGTTTATGAGAGAGAGAGAGAACACAAGTGGGGAAGGGGCAGAGAGAGGGGGAACAGAGGATCTAAAGCAGTGAGCCTGATGTGGGGCTCAAACTTGCAAATCGTGCAATCATGACCCAAGCCGAAGTCTGACACTCAACCGAGCCACCCAGGCACCCCAGTGCTTTCAGCTTTTATCTTCATCAAAAGACAAATCTCTGTGAATATTAATCTCTAATGAGCCATACACGGTTTCGAACCTTTTTTAAGCTACATAAAATCATGAAATTAGCTGGGCTAATGGTCTTGTCATTAAAAGAGTAAATAGAGGTCTGCCAGTGATACATCAGTGTACTTAACAGCTTCCTGAGGATCTTAATTGAAGCCATTGTTATGTATTGGTGTTGACTCAGCACTCACGGTTTGGGAGTATTTGCCTGTACTGTTTTAGTGCTAATATTGTATGTTCTCATGCTTACCACACATATTTATGAGCATGTACTTTGTGCCTGGTATGTGTTAATTAAGGGAGGATGTATCATAGACCAGAAACAGTTCTTGGCTCTTAGACTGGGTGGTCTAATGGGAAGGTAGACATTTTACAAGTAATTAAGTGAGGTGATGTTAAAAAACGGGAAAGTGTCAGTGCTTTGAGAGCGACTTGCAGGGACTGGACCAAGTCTGGAGTGTCTGAGGAAGCTTTTGATACTTTTTAATCAGTGCTGATTTCTGTCAGTCCTGGCAAAATGGTAAGTCCATACAGAGGACAAATGCAAGTGAGCATAGCTCTTTGCTTGTGAACGCATACTTTTATCCCTGCACACCAAAAGTTCTGCCTTCTTAGATGGGCCAGTTCTTAAAGATTCCTAATTTAAGTGATTAATTTATATTTAATGTTTGCATTTACTCTCAATATAATACTTTTGATTTATTATAGGAAAATGCATTAGAATAAATAAGCATATTTTAATTTGAGATTATTTGGTTATTATAAGTTAATAAATGATTTTAATTTTTTTTAGCCTATCAAAGTTGTTCAGTATAATATCAATACAGAAGAATTGTATTCCTACCTAAAGGAATTCATCCACATACTGTATTTCAGGTAAGATGTAGTTGTATTTTTTTCCCCCAGCTTTTGTGATTAGATTTTCCTAATACCATAGTGATATTTGGTTGTGTTACATCTGGTGCAAAAAAGAGTTGGCTTCCATTACCATTTTTACTTGTTTATTTTCAAGCTTTTCCAATATATATTTGAAGACTAGATAATTGGCAAGCGTAAGGAGATACTGAAAACAAATGTTCATTTATAAAAGAGGTTGGATAATTAAAGTATTATATATCCATATAGTGAAACACTTTATAGACATTAAAAAAGATTTCTGTATTTATATGTAGTAATACAAAAGGTGTCTTAGATATGTTGATATTTGAAAAAAGCAAGTCGCAAAACAACATCTATGGAATAAATACTTCTGTTAAAATACATGCAAACACATAGACAATAAATGAATGTATACAGACTGCTCTAAGTGGTGGTTTCTGGGTAGTGGAAGTATAAAGTATTTCTACTTTCCAAATTAAAAACTTCTATTTTATTTGGAGTTTTATGAGCATATATTACTTTTGTAACCTAAAAAAAGAAAAAAAATCTTTTTAGCGGTTCAAGTGTGTATTCAGACTAGGCTGTAACTTTTGTTTTCTGGGATGATTGCATTAATAGATATAAAGATCCTGACACAGTGCACAGCATGTATTAAGAGATCAGGAATGTTATCTTTGCTAGGTAATAAAATGAAGATGTCTTTCTGTTCTTAACAAACTTCCATCATGTGCCAAAATAAATACAAAATTTTAATTACTTTTATAAATAAAAACTGTTACCTTCCAGGCATCTATTGGTGAATCCTAGAGACCGCCGAGTTGTGGTTATCGAGTCGGTATTATGTCCTTCCCACTTCAGAGAGACCCTCACTCGTGTTCTTTTCAAGTATTTTGAGGTACCTAATTTTCATGTTGTTTCTTTTTAATTTTTTAAATGTTTATTTTGAGAGAGTGTGTGTGCAGGGGAGGGGCAGAGAGAGAGGGAGACACAGAATCCGAAGCAGGCTCCGTGCCCTGAGCTGTCAACACAGAGCCCAACACAGGGCTTGAACCCGCAAACTGTGATATCATGACCTGAGCCAAAGTTGGATGCTTAACTGACTGAGCCACTCAGGCACCCCTGTTGTTTTTTGTATGTACTAAAGCTTAAACTGAAAGATCCTCATTTAATTTCCTGCATTGTATATACTACACAATCCATTTGAGAAACCAGATGAGAGTACACTCAAGTCACTTCAAATTGACCATTTATTTTCTTTTCTTTGTATGGTTATTTCACATGTAATCAGTATTTCATCTAATACTTAGATAACTGAAGATTTCTTCTTCTTGATATTTGTTTTTAATATAGGTTTTTATGTTAGGGGACTTTTTTAGAATTAAAACATAAATTCTTTACTGTAGAACTTATGATGTGTTTTATCAAGGTCTTTCCAGTTTCCATTATTATGCTGACTGCTGTAAATTCTTCAGTTCTTTCATAATAGCCTTTAAGTTCCTATTATATAAAAAAAGATTCTTATTATTATCAAATATTCAAATAATGTCTCCCTTACAGTAAGTGTGCAGTGCTAGGAATGACTCTCAATCTTGACATGTGATAATATTACTTACAGCTTTCATTTTATAGAAGTCAAGATTATTTAAAAACCAAAATTATGGTTAAAGATGATTACATTTCATAGTAGGCCAGAATCCTTATTACTCAGTTTTTTGAAAATTTTACGTTAGACTTTTAGGCTTTTCAACAAGGGAAACTAGAAGATAGTAGAAAAACATGTATAATGTGTGAGAAATTGGGGGTGCCTGAGTAGCTCAGTAAGTTGAACATTGGACTCTTGATTTTGGCTCAAATCACAATTCCAGGGTCGTGGGATTGAGTCCAGTGTTGGGCTCTGTACTGAGCACAGAGCCTGCTTAAGATTCTGTCTTTGCCACTCTCCCCTGCTTGCACTCTCTCTCTCTAAAAATTAAAAGAAAAAAGAAATTAAGCATGTAAAAATGTATTTTTCATATATTCTAGTGAGCTCAAAATATATCAAAAATCGCAATCCTTTATCAGTAAAGGACAGTTCATATTTCTAAGTTATAGCTTAGTAAGACAGGCAGAGAGAAATAGGTTACGTATCCTCCTGTGCTTACTGATGTCATAAACTTAGGGATTTGGTTTGCCATATAGAAAACAAAGCAGGAAGCAGCATCAGCAATTAAATAAATAAAAACAGATGAGTCTCTATATTTATATTTAGAGCTTTAGGTGTGTTTGTGTTGGTATCCTTATCTTGTATGTGGCTGGAAATCTGCTGTATCTACTTAGATAAGAGAAATACAGCCATTTTTTTTTTTTTTTTTAGCATTTGGTTATGAGGACTTTCATATTTTGATTGAACATTTACCTAATATTTGAAGTATCACCAGATCTGGCAAATTCTCACTGAAAAATGTCACACAGAGCAAAGAATTTTTCTAGATCTTAAATTTAATTTTAACTGCTATATTATGTTTTAGAAATAGAGTTCAGGGGCGTCCGGGTGGTTCAGTCAGTTAAGTGTCCAACTCTTGATTTCAGCTCAGGTCATGGTCTCATGGTTCATGAACTTGATCCCTGTGGCAGGCTCTGTACTGACAGAAAGAGAGAGAGTGAAATTTTTTAGAAAATAAATAAAAATAGAATTCATATTACAAACTTTGTGAATAAAGATAATCAGCAATTTTTTTCTTGGGGTGCCTGGGTGGCTCAGCCAGTTAAGTGTCCGACTTTGGCTCGAATCATGATTTCACTGCTTGGGAGTTTGAACCCCATGTCAGGCTCTGTGCTGACAGCTCAGACGGAGCCTGGAGCTTACTTCAGATTCTGTCTCCATCTCTCTGCACCTCCTCATGCTCTGTCTCTCTGTATCTCTCCCTCTCTCAAATATAAAATTAAACATAAAAATAAGTTAAATTAAAAAAATTAAAAAGAATCTTTTTCTTGATTTTTCATTTTGATAGCAGAGGCATCTCTTTATTTTTTAAATTTAGCATCTTCCTTCATATTTATGTTTCTGTACGTCTTCTTTATCCCTTTGATTTTTCCCTCCAAAAGAGAGGGAGCAGGAATCAATAAAAATGCTTCATAATTGTCATTTGGAATAAAAACAACTTAGAGGATTTAAGGAGTGTTTTTATTTATTAAGGTATAGTTTGATGATTGTGTAAATTCAGACAAATCAACAAACTAGCCATAAAATGGTTGAAGAGCTATCATTAATATGTTATTACTGTGAATTTTTTCAGGTATATTTGAAATATAAGAGAAACACCTTTAACTCCTAATACTTGAGGTTTTGTTGTTGTAATTGTTATTCTGGGTTTGCCCTTTCCCAGGTTCCATCTGTCCTGCTTGCCCCAAGTCATCTAATGGCTCTTCTGACACTTGGAATAAACTCAGCCATGGTCCTGGATTGTGGATATCGGGAGAGCCTGGTGTTACCTGTATCTTTTTCGTCAAGCAGCTTATTTCACAGCTTTTACTTTACTTTAACATAATTGGGCTTCTTACGAGTGGTGTTTTGGGTTACCATATACAAATACGAATTCCCACATGGAAAAATGTCACAGGATTGTGATGAGACTTAAATTTTATCGAAATTACCATTATGACTTGGTCCCAGTATATACTCCAGAGATCAGACCTCTTGAATATCATGTTCAGTTTTTAAGAGGAACATCAGCTAATTAGGATGTGTCATAGGACTTCACTATCTTAGTCAAGTTCTGAGAAAAGATCATACAAAGAGTAATTTGAGAAACTGAAATGAGAAAGTTAAATCAAGAAAAAAACATGAAATCTGCCTTCAGATAGCTGAAGGACTTACTCTGAGGAAATGAGTACGTTTTCTTCTGTTTCTATTTCTAGAAACTATTACAGAGGCAGTAGCACATAGGGTTTATGATTTTGGGTTTGGAATCAAATTCGTAAGTGGTAAATCTTAGCTGTGCTTCTTACTAGTTATATGATGTTAGTCAGGTAATCTCTTTGGGCCTTAGTTCTCTTCTCTATGAGATGAGAATTAAAATATTTCCACCTTACGGAGGGGTACTGTGTGACTTGAATGGGATAATGTATGTGAAGTATTTAGCATACGATCTGGCATGTAATCACTTGCTCCTCAAATGCTCTAGTTTTTGTATCAGTCACCATTGGGAGGAATTTCTTAGTAATTCAAGCTGTCCCAGAATGGAACCAGAGACTGAATACACTGGTGCATTCCTTGTCATTAGAAGCATGTAAGCAGAGTATAGGCAAAGGTTGTTAGAAATGTCACAGTGCGCATGGCTCCATTGAAATGGAGGTTGAAGTACATAAATCCATGATTCTTGGGCAGTTTTGAGATCTACATATGTATTTATTAGAAGAAATACTTGTGGGCGTGAAATCAAGAATCAGTAGCTCCTAAAGAACTAAATTAGGTAGTATCTTTCTATTTATCTTTTTCTAATTAAAAAAATTTTTTTAAGTTTATTTATTTTGAGAGAGAGAGAATATGCACAAGACGGAGAAGGGAGAGAGGGAATCCTAGGCAGGCTCCACACTGTCAGTGCAGAATCCATTGTGGGGCGTGGCGCTCAAACACATGAACTATGAGATCATGACCTGAGCTGAAACCAAGAGTCAGTTGCTTAACTAAGCCACCGAGGCACCTTGGTAAGAGCTTTTTAAATATAAGGTATTTTGTGTTTAAATCTTGTAACAACCCTGCAACGTAAGTATTTTACTTATTACATAAATGAGAAGATGCAAAGTTGGGATAGATAGTTGACTGCAGGTCATATAAGCATATCGCTAAGGTATATAACCCATGTTTATTTCCAAAGCCAGTGCTCTTACCAATATACTCTTTTCTTTTTTGTAAATATTATACTTACAGACATGAGCAAAAACAATATGGAAAATAAGGTAGCAAATCTTCAGTACAGTATTGTCCATTCTCCTCTCAGCTCTAATAGGAATACAATGTGAGACATATATGTAATTTAAAACTTTTCTAATAGCGGGGCACCTGGGTGGCTTAGTCGGTTAAGCGTCCGACTTTCACTTAGGTCATGATATCGCGGTTCGTGGATTCAAGCCCTGCGTCGGGCTCTGTGCTGACTGCCAGCTCAGAGCCTGGAGCCTATTTCAGAGTCTGTCTCCCTCTCTCTCTGACCTTCCCCTGCTCGCTCTGTCTCTCTCTCTTCTAGAAATAAATAAAAATATTTAAAAATAAAATAAAACTTTTCTAATAGCTACATTTTTAAAAGTGCAAGTGAAAGATGAAGTTACTGTATTTTATTTAACCCAATATATTCAAAATATTAGTTCCACATAAACTAAAAATTCTAATGAGACATTTTATAGGGCTTTTTGTATGTGTGTGTTACGTCTTCTAAATTTGGTATTGAGTGTGTTCTTACAGCACATCTCATTCATACTGGCCGCATTTCAAGTGCTCCGTAGCCACATGTGGCCAGGCCAGTACTTACTATATTGAACACCTCAGTTGTAACTAATGAATTCTGTGAGAGCGTGTGTGTGTGTGTGTTTGTGTGTGTGTGTTTAACCTTTGTCTTTGGAGAAAAATATGAAAAAAGACTGATTTTTTTGTAGATCTTTTAAAAATATTGAGAACCTATTACCAAAGCTGACTTAATATGCAGAAGGTAAGGAAAATACCAAGGAAACCACGTCTGATCTCCTAAAATGGTTACATCCTTGACTACCCTATAGATATATGAAGGGATCCCAGTACTGAATTGTTGGGGAGCACTCCCTCTAGGAGGAAAAGCTCTTCACAAGTAAGTTTCTTGGGATTTAGCACATTTGCTTCACCTGTACCACAGTATTTTGACAGTGATCAATAGAAGGTAGATAAACATTTAATGTTATTCATTCCCTTCTCAGCCTTTAATGGATTTACCTTTTAAGGATAAAACCACTTTTGTGTAAAGCATTATAACTACTGTGATGTAGTAAAAGTATTAAATAAGAGAAGATATCAAGTGCAATATTTTAATTCCAGTAACTTTTTTGTTTTTTAACCTTCAGAGAGTTGGAAAGTCAACTCCTGGAACAATGTACTGTTGACACAGGTGCTGCTAAAGAACAGAGCCTTCCCTCCGTGATGGGTAAAACCATTTTCAACTATTTAAGACTGGTTTACATTCCCTTTTCATTCTTTAACTCCTATTGTTTTTTTTTTTTTAACCCCATTGTATAGTTACTCTCTTTTCCCTCACATCACTCTGATGACATTGCTCCAATTATAAGGTTATTCTTAACCTCTTAATCACCAAGTCCAAGAATTTAATTTTAGTCATACTTTCTAGAACTTGGGGCATTGTGGATTATCATACACTCGTTTTTTTTGGGGGGGGAGAGGGGCAGAGAGACAAGTTGGGGGGGAGAGAGAAAGAGAGAGAGAGAGAGAAACAGAAACCCAAGCAGGCTTCATGCCGCTGGCACAGAGTTGACATGGGGCTCGAACTCATGAACCGCAAGATCATGACCGAAGCCAAAACCGAGTCAGCCTCCCAACCACCTGAGCCACCCAGGTGCTCCTGTCATATACTCTTGTTATTATTACTTCCCTTGGTGTTCAGGACTCTCTTCCTTTAGATGTTCTGTTATTTCTCCAGGTGTTCCTTGGTTTCCCCTATTTTTGTTTTCTCTACTGGTATTTCCCTAGGGATCTGTTTTCTTATTCCTTTTTTTTTCCCTACTGGTTTTTAGCAGTGATTTCATCTATTTCCATTAACTTCAGCTACATCAATATGCTGTTGATTCTCAAATGTATCATTGGGCCTGACCTTTCTAACTTTCCAACTGATTATTAGATGTAAACTAGGCATGTTTAGGTACCTAGCATTTAAGACCTTCCAAAGGTGAACAAATTATCTCTTCTTCCAAATTCATTTCAACCAATTGTTATCAGATAAAGATGACATCTTCCTTATCTCCCATTTTAGAAAACTGGGAGTTAAAAATCCTTTCAGTTCTCCCTCAGAAATCTCTTTTTAATCTCCTATCTTTTTCTCTATCATATATATCACTGAACATCTGAAAACAGATTGTAAAGTAGACCCTCGTTGTTCCTTGCGTGGTTTATTTCAGGAGACAATTCTCTGAACCGATTTGGTCTATTTTATACTGTTACCAGGAGTAACTTCCACAGTACAAATCTGATTACACTGCTCTTTGGCTTGAGGGTTTCTGTCGACTCCATGGCTTAAAATCCAAATTATTTATTTGATACACACGTTTCTTCCGAGGCTGACTTTCTGCCTTGTAGCCCTGACTATTCAACTTAACCCTGTGTAGCTTATTTCAGCTACAGTAAATTTCATAGTTTTCTAGGCACCACTGGTTCTTCCATGAACCTGAGCCTTCATACCTGGATGTTGTTTGCCTGGTTGGGTTTTTCGATCTCTCTACATGACTCAGCTGGAGTGTCATTTTATTGTGAAGCCTTTCGCATTTCTCCCAAGCAGAATAAATTTCTCCCCTTTCTGTTAAGCTCTCACCAGTATGTATTATAGCATATATGACACATCCTCATTTATCTGTTAACTCACCAATTTCCTTCAGTAGACTTTGGGGATCTGTCTTACTTGTTTTTCAGTCTGCAGCATTTAGTATACTACCTGGGCACCAAATAAATGTTGAAAAGAGACAGGTTTTTAGGACATTTATCCTTGCTTATATTGTTTCCTGTTTTTCTTTTGGTAGTTAAGATAATAATAGCATTCTTCTATATATTTTTCTTTATTTTATTTAGAGAGAATGTGCAAGCAGGGAAGAGGGGCAGAGGAAGAGAATCATTTAAAAAAATTTTTTTTAAATGTTGATTTATTTTAGAGAGAGAGACAGACAGAATCCGAAGTAGGCTCCAGACTTGTCAGCACAGAGCCTGACATGGAGCTCAAACTCACAGACCATGAAAATCATGACCTAAGCTGAAGTTGGATGCCTAACTGACTGAGCCACCCAGGCGCCCCACCCCCCCTTTTTAATGTTTATTTTATTTTTGAGATAGAGAGAGAATGTAGGCAGGGGAAAGGCAGAGAGAGAGAGAAAAAGAGAGAGAGACAGAATCTGAAATAGGCTCCAGGCTGTCAGCACAGAGCCTGGCATAGGGTTTGAACTCATGAACCGTGAGATCATGACCTCAGCTGAATTCAGATGCTTAACGCACTGAGCCACCAAGGTGCTGCAGAGAGAGAGAATCTTAAGCATGGGCTCAATCCCAGGACCCTGGGATCATGACCTGAGCCAGACACTCAACTGACTGAGCCACCCAGGCACCCCTAACTTATTATTCCAGAAAAATTTTGTTACTCTTTCAGTATATCATGAAGACAGTTAATTTATAAAATGTATACAAAGATAATGAGTTTAATGTAGCATTCCAAGGTATTTTTAATAAAGATCTTTAAAACTGATGATAACATTTCCTTACAATTCTGAACTGTACATTTTTGGATACCCTTTCTTTAACCAACCATTGTGTCCATCGTGTTCTGTGATTCTAATCTTTCCCTGACATATTTTCCCAAATCTCAGTCTGTGATATCTTTGCAGTCCTAATTGAGAAATTAAATCATAACCACTGTTTGCTGAAGGACACGTGTAGGAGGATCAGAAATGCAAATATATTTAAAATATATCTTGTCAAGGCCCTTAGCAAAGAATAAAGGCAAATCTTAGGTATACTTGGGTATCCTTATATAACTTTGAATAAGTTTTTTCATTTAGTTTTTGGAACCTAGTTCAAAAAGAATAAATATATTAAAGTAACTTACAAAGACTAACCCAAGTACATTCATTCGCAAAGTATACACTTAAAAGCAAATTCTCTAAAAATATTATGCTTCTTATTCTCCTAAATTAACTGAAATTTAAATGTGATTTTTCATAGCAGAGACGATGAATGCCTCTTGTTTCTATTCCTTATTCAAGAAGTTTAAATGGTTATTATTCACGAAGATTAGGAACCCCTTCCTAAAGTAGTATCTACCTTCAACTAAAATAAGGGTTTTATTTTTAAGCTTGGTTTATGTTTGTTGTTTTTTTTTGCCTAAAGAAAACTGTTTCTCATATTACAGAATTTCTTTGTTACATGTTGGAATTCATTTGAATATTCCTTTTTTTTTTTTTTTTAATTTTTTTTAATGTTTTTTTATTTATTTCTAGGAGAGAGAGAGAGAGACAGCGTGAGCAGGGGAGGGTCAGAGAGAGAGGGAGTCACAGACTGAAACAGGCTCCAGGCTCTGAGCTGGCAGTCAGCACAGAGCCCGACGCGGGGCACGAACCCACGAACCGCGAGATCATGACCTAAGTGAAAGTCGGACGCTTAACCGACTAAGCCACCCAGGCGCCCCTCATTTGAATATTCCTAAAGAGAATATAACATTAATCAAATGTTAGTTTTTAGCACTTATTCTTGTATTATAGGTTCTTATAATCTAGTTACATTTCTCTCATCTCTTTACGGCCAAATTAAAATTTTTTTGGAAATCTGTATCCTTTTGTGAGGTACATTTCAACACATAAGGATAGGAGTCTTCAAAGTTTTTGATCACATACTGACCCTATCAGTAAAAAGCTTTTCAGCATATACCTTCAATACATATATATTTTGTTTATAAGTTGTATGTATACTATTATTACTATATTATGAAACACACAAAAGTAAGAATTTGGAAGATAATGATAAATAATAATCTAACATCATGCTTAACTAATGCTGGAAGTTTTTTGCTCCTCAAAAGAGCAGTGTGATAAAATACTTTTTTTAAAGGTTATGGCTTGACATTTTGAACATGTGGCTCTCAAGTTTAATTTATATTAATACTTAGTTTTAGTGGCTGTCATCACTTAAAGATATAGCTAATGAGATATGTAAGTTCAGATGGAAGAAGTGCATGATTACCCTTATTAAATCATGGTTCCACTTTCAGCTATAAATTTCTGTCTTCCTTGATATAAATAATCTGTTCTTATAAGTCAGAATATTTTTACATAATTAACAATGAGTTAAGTCTTAGTTTAGAAAATTAAAAAAAATTTTTAATGTTTTTTATTTATTTCAGAGAGAGAGAGAGAGAGAGACAGCATGAACAGGAGAGGGTCAGAGAGAGAGGGAGACACAGAATCCGAAACAGGCTCCAGGCTCTGAGCTAGCTGTCCGCACAGAGCCCGATGTGGGGCTCGAACCCACGAACCGCGAGATCATGACCTGAGCCGAAGTTGGATGCTCAACCGACTAAACCACCCACGTACCCCTAGAAAATTTTTAATTTAGGTTAAAAAATGTTGTTTCTGATTCTTACTTGGAGAACTAGATTTTTAGCAACAAAATCACATAACAATGGTAACATATCCAAACATTCATCCAGAGGCTCCCCAAATTGTATAGATTTCTTTGAATAGGTACGCTCTTGCTCACTTTTTTAAATGTCACCTTTACCTTGAAGAAAAAAGTTGAGAGTCTGTGTCTGTCCTTTCTAAAAACACGTATCAGGTTAGCATATTACTGACATTCATTATCACAGAAAGGATAAGCAAACTCGAAACCTCACTTTTTGTACAATAAAAATTAATAACTCGTGTTTCTTAGTATTTTACCACAAGATACCCAACAAATCTTTTTATAGTAGAAAGGATTTTTGTTGTCAATTTTTGTCTAGTGCCAATTATTCTACTATATTATTAGATCTTCTGTTTATCAAATTTTTGAGTGTATGATATACAGTAGGACTTGGTGCACATCTGGCTTCAACTTCTGTCTTTTGGCTTGGCTTTGCAAAGTGATGAAGTTTCTATTTGGCTTTTAGAAAGCGACAGTACTTAGATTTTTAAAAATTTTGCTGAAATGGAAAGCAGAAACAGTGCAATTTAACAGACTGGTTTTGCTTATTATTAAACTTCTCTAAATAAAATTTCTGTTTTAGGTTCAATTCCAGAAGGTGTCCTAGAGGACATTAAAGGTAAACTAAGTTTCCATTTTTGTCCCTTTTATCTGTAAGTATTAGTTTAGAGGGCATGTGTTTCTAAATATTTAGACATACAAAATATATCCAATTTGTAATGTAATATCCTGAAAATATTTAATATACAGGATAGACTATGGAATAATGTAAATAAAGTTTTGATTTTTCTTTAGATTTATGGAAGCTTTTGGGATTATTTATGATGTCTTATTGAAGACTTCAATTATAGAGTATATAGTAATACTAGGGAATTAATAGTTTGCACAGTGTGAATTAATAGATATATTGCTTAAGAAAGCCACTGATTTTATGTTGTATAGAATTTTTTTTACTCTAGTTTTTAAATAAAGATAGACAAGGTTAATCATTTTACTGACTTTAGAGGTTGGTCCCTGTGTTTGGTTCACTTTATTTTTTAAATTTTATGTTTTAATGTTAATTTTATTTTTAAGAAAGAGAGACAGAGACAGAGATGGTTAAGGGCAGAGAGAGAGGGAGATCTAGAATCCGAAGCAGGCTCCAGGCTCTGAGCTGTCAGCACAGAGTCCAACTCGGAGCTTGAACCCACAAACTATGAGATCATAACCTGAGCTGAAATTGGATGCTTAACCAGCTGAGCCACCCAGGCACCTTGGATTCACTTTAAAAAGATATATTACTTCTTTGCTACAGTGCATTTTTATGATAATGTTTAAATTGACTTTTCTGGTATTTTGATTCACTGAAAGGAAAAGCATTCCAAATATAATTTAATATTCATCAGTACTGAGAATGTTATGTAAAATTAATAAGAGAGAATCAGACAATAATGAATTTTAGAATTAAATGAGATAATCTGGTGTGGTTGGGGCCCTGAAATATTAAGTGATGTGGTCAGTGTCATACTGTAGGTAGGGTTAGAGATGGGGCTGAAAAATGAATCTTGTTCTATATTATATTATTTACTTATGTGGTATAATTACCTAAAATTTCTTCAGTTATTGTAAAACCTGAGTTTTACACTATATATGTACTTATCTTGCTTTGATATTTATGAGAACTTGAATAAAATAGATAATGCACAAGTAGCTTGAGCACCTAGCTTACTGTCTAGCATGCTAGTATGTTGTAGATTCTCAGTATATTTTAAACTAACGAAAGAAAAGACTCTTATATGATACATACATTTTAACTAAAATGTTTTGCGAGTGATTAACCAAGTCATTAGGTTTTTCACATTCAACATTAACTTTGTTTCTACTTAAACTTTGTTATTCCTTACCTATTTCTGAAAATAATTTGAAGCAGCTTATTATAAAAGGCACTTTGCAACTGATATAATCTTTGAAAGAATAAATGTTCCAAGTACAAAAAAAAAGAAAAAGGTGATATAGTAGAAGGAAAATGGTAGTATGCTAGAGGGAGAAAGTAATATGCAGATAAGAGCAGAAGTTAGCCTTGTGTGCTGACCAAGATTTCTATTTTAATTTTATTTTTTATTTTTTTAGAGAGAGAGAGTGCATGCAAACGGGGAGAGTGGCAGAGGAAGAGAGAGAGAATCTTAAGCAGGTTCCACACTGAGCATGCAGCCGGACACAGGGTTTGATCCATGACCCTGGGATCATGACCTGAGCTGAAATCAAGAGTTGGACCCTCAACCAACTGAGCTATTCAGGCAACCCTGGCCAACCAAGATTTTTAAAAAGAATCAGATAGGGGCGCCTGGGTGGCTTAGTCGGTTAAGCATCCGACTTTTGCTTAGGTCATGATCTCATGGTTCGTGGGTTCGAGCCCCGCGTCGGGCTCTGTGCTGACTGCCAGCTCAGAGCCTGGAGCCTGTTTCAGTCTGTGACTCCCTCTCTCTCTGACCCTCCCCTGCTCACGCTCTCTCTCTCTCTAGAAATAAATAAAAAAAAAAACCTTAAAAAAAAAATAAAAAGAATCAGATAGATACATAAGATTAAGTATAGCAGTGGTTCAGAGGAACATGCTACTCAGAACAGCTACATTTTCATAATGCTAAATTTTATTATCGTACTCTTTATGCAGGGTATATAAAAAATATATACTTTTCGGGGCGCCATGGTGGCTCAGTTGCTTAAGCGTCCAACTTTGGCTCAGGTCATGGTCTCGCAGTTTGTGGGTTTGAGCCCCGTGTCGGGCTCTGTGCTGACAGCTAGCTCAGAGCCTGGAACCTGCTTCAGATTCTGTGTCTGACCCTCCTCTGCTCATGCTGTCTCTCTCTCTCAGAAATTAAAAAAAAGGTTAAAATGTGGTTTTATGAGAGATGAACACACAACATGTCTTATTCCTCCATGAATGAAAACTTTTTTTTATTTGTGAATAAATTGTCATAACCAAACTAAAGGCAGAGATAGTTGGTAAAATCTGAAGGAATGGGTGACCAGTATGTCCACTTAAATAGAATTATTTTAACTGGGATATAGATCGATTCAATCACAAACCATAACAAAGTCTCCTTTTCTTTCTTACAAGTGCGCACTTGCTTTGTAAGTGATCTGAAACGTGGATTAAAAATCCAAGCGGCAAAATTTAATATTGATGGGAATACTGAGGTAAGTTAAAAATAAACATATATTCTTTTTTTCACAGGTTATTACCTATGTATTTATGCTTATGATATTTATATTTCAGCGTCCCTCACCACCCCCAAATGTTGACTACCCATTAGATGGAGAGAAGATTTTACATATTCTTGGATCAATCAGGTAGACCTTAATTTTTATGAACAAAATAATGAACTAGAATGAATATTTGGCTTTTAAAAATATATAAGCCTTTAATATTGCAGATTTAACTATTTTATGTGTTTTTCAGTAGGCCTCCTTGTTCATGATTAATTATATTATGCAACTTTTTAATTTAAAAAATTTTTTAAGAATTTTCTTTCCTGTTCTTAGTAATTCAGAATTAATGGAACTATTCTTCAAGATAGAGAATAAAGTACAACACTTTAAAACAGGGTTCAGTAAACCTTTTTTGTAAAAAGCCAAATGGTAAAGAGTTAGGTTTTATGAGGTCTCTGTTGCAAGCACTCAATTCTACAGTTGGGAGTGCAGAATCAGCCATAAACAATACATAAATGAATGAGCATGGCTGTGTTCCAGTAAGACTTTATTAACAAAGACAAGTGGGCTGGATTTGGCTTACAGGTCATAGTTTGCTGGCTCCTGATTTAAAACGTTGGCATGTTAACAGACACATGAAACGATGCTCAGCATCCCTCCTCATCAGGGAAATACAAATCAAAACCACACTGAGATACCACCTCACGCCAGTCAGAGTGGCTAAAATGAGCAAATCAGAGAACTCTAGATGCTGGCGAGGATGTGGAGAAACGGGCACCCTCCTACACTGTTGGTGGGAATGTAAACTGGTACAGCCCCTCTGGAAAACAGTGTGGAGGTTCCTCAGGAAACTAACAATAGAACTCCCCTATGACCCAGCAATAGCACTGCTAGGAATTTACCCAAGGGATACAGAAATGCTGAGGCATAGGAGCACATGTACCCCAATGTTCATAGCAGCACTCTCCACAATAGCTAAAACATGGAAAGAGCCTAAGTGTCCATCAACAGATGAATGGATCAAGAAGATGTGGTTTATCTATACCATGGAATACTACATGGCAATGAGAAACCATGAAATCTGGCCATGTGTAGCAACATGGATGGACCTTGAGGGTGTTATGCTGAGCGAAATAAGTCAGGCAGAGAAGGACAAATATCATATGTTTGCACGTATAGGAGGATTAGGAGGAACTTGACGGAGGAACAAGGGGGAGAAGAAGGGGGGAAATGGTGGGGGAAAGGGAGAGAGGCAAACCATGAGAGACTCTTGAATGCTGACAGAAACTGAGAACTGATGGATGTAGGAGGGAGGGGGGATGGGCATAGAGGAGGGCACTCGTGGGGATGAGCACTGGGTGTTATGTGGAAACTAATTTGACAATAAACTATTTGTAAAAAAAAAAAAAAGAAAGAAGGAAAGAAAGCATTCTTCCAAATATGCCGTATCTTAAGGACCAGTTACTAATTTACTTTTTCATTTTCTTTAGATTATTATATCCAATGATGCTTTATAAGCTACAGACTTACATAATTCTGTTGATGACAATAGCATTTTTTTATATGCAAGCTTCATAAAATTTCTATTTACAGAGGCACATGGGTGACTTTGAGCATCTGACTCTTGATATCAGCTCAAATCATGATCCCAGGGTCATGGGATAAAGCCCCACACCGGGCTCTGCACTGAGTGTGGAGCTTGCTTGGGATTCTTTCTCTCTCCCTCTGCCCCTCTCCCCTGGTCACGCATGCACTTTCTCTAAAATAACAGTAAAAATAAATAAAATAGTTTGCAGTTCTTATAAAAAAATCAAAAATAAAATTTGTTTTTATAAAGGTTTCATTTGTTAAATATCAGATCAGAAGATGCCACAGAAAAGACTTTTGTAGATACTGAAGATCCTGTTGGATTCTGAGAAAGGATGAACAGGAATATACAGATGTTACAGATGGTAGGGTAGGAGAGCAACAGAGTGAGAATGTAATGCTTTTTGGTAGTACCTTTTACCATTTTACCTCTTATTTAGGTTATATTCATTAAATTACTATTTTAAATTTTCTCCAGGTTGTATAGTAGAGCCCAAAATACGAGAAGAAAATAAATGTTGAAGGAAATTAATATGGAGCTTTTTGGTTACATAATAGCTTTTTGGTTATTTGGGAATAAAAAGCCACTGTGTCTCACATGTCAAACCCAATAGGTTTACAATTTTTACTAATATGTTTTTCCTACTAAAAACCTAGTTCTATTGAAACCTAATTAGACACAGTTCAGACCAGTAGTTCGTAAATCAGAAGGTCATTTGAATTTTTAAGTGCAGTGAGAACTTAAAATTATTTGTGTATCAGTCTTGGTACAGAATTCTTACTGATATTTTCCTTTAAACTTTTATAGTTGTATTACCTATATTAAGAAGATTTTAAAAATTGTCTTTTCAAAGCATTCAACATAGTTCACATAGGAAAACAACTTATATTCTACCCCTCGTATTTTGGTGGTTACATAATAATTGTAAAATTATGTAATTTCAATAGCAAATCTATTGACAATAAAAGACTTGCAATAAGAAAACTGTTGCTTTGTAAGCATTCAGCTCAACTGGTAGCAGTGGAATTATGCAGGCATAACAGCAAGTGGCTGACTACCTGTGAGTGTTTAGCATAGTGCTGGCCTCAGTGTACTTAGTGATGAAATGGGGGATTAGTGGGTAGGTGGAGTCTCATGAAGAGAATTTCATGTTCGAAGAAGATTCAAGAAAGCTTCAGAGTGGTATGCATAGTCTGATCTAAATCTTATTTATAAGAAATACTGTTTATATGTGCATTTGTGTAGACAGTTTTGCATTGCATTGCTTCGGATTTAGTTTGGCCACCAGTTACACAAACCTGACAGTAGTGGCTTCACCAGTATAGAAGTTTGTCTCTCTCTTTTGAAGTTTGTTTGTTTTTAAGAGAGGGAGAGAAGGAAAGAGGGAGAATGCGAGCTGGGCAGGGGCAGAACGAGAGAGGGAGAGAATCCAAAGCAGGCTCCATGCTATCAACACAGAGCTCCACACAGGATTTGAACTCAGCGAACTGTGAGATCATGACTTGAGCTGAAATCAATATTCAGTGCTTAACCGACTGAGCCACCCAGGCACCCCTGACTCTCTCTTTTAAAAGAAGCTCGGAGGTAGATAGTCCAGGAATGGTACGACAACTCCCATTAGGGACCCAAGCATCCTTCCATCTCTCATCCTTTTGGGGATAGCCCTGTCCTTAGATACCAGGGTATTCGATGGAGTTAAAGCTACTATATCCATATTTAAGGCAAGCACCCCAGCAAGGGAAAGAAAAAAGTGCTCCCTCTCCTTTTTAAGGACACGTTCTTTCAGAAGTTCCACATACTGCTTCTGCCTTCCTCTCCTTTGTTCCTTAGCTGCACATCTAGCTACAGGGAGGCAGGGAAATACGGTGTTCCAACTGGAGAGTGGCATTATATCCAGCTTAAAAATGGAGCTCTCTCCTTTTTTCAAACTACAGGATTTACAGGATATCTCAAAGACGATACAGGAAAGCCTCAGGGACTCTTCATGTAGCTTCTCCCTGTGGTTACACCTTCCTTAACTGTAGTGCAATAGCAAAACCAGGACATTGGCACCAGTGGAATGTGTATATATAGTTCGTATGATTTTATCACATACAGATTTCTGTAAATCACGCCGCAATTAAGATACAGAACTATTCCATCACCACAAAGACCTTCCTTCTGCTACTCCAAAATGGGCTCTTTTGAGAACAAAGAGGAGAATGGAGAATGGATATTTTATTAGGCAACTAGCAGCTTTGCCACACGTTATTTTTAGAAATAAAGAAATGCTTGGGGAGGGGATTGTTTTTAAATCTTTTGTATCACTACAGATCTTTTTTTTTAATATTTGTATTTTTGAGAGAGAGCATGTGTGAGCAGGGGAGGGACACAGAATGAGGGGAACAGAGGTTCTGAAGCAGGCTCTGTGCTGACAGCAGAGAGCCTGATGCAGGGCTCAGACTCCTGAATGATGCGATTATGATCTGAGCTGAAGTTGGACACTTAACTGACTGAGCCACCCGGGCACCCCCAGATCTGTTTCTTGAATCTTAACCAGCTTTTATAGAATCACTTCTTTCCTATTATTAGGCTTAAGGAAGTATAACTGGACAAATGTATGTTAATCTGTACATAATAATAATTGTAGCTAATATATAAGGGGTGCTTCCTATGTACCATGCACTGTTCTATCAACTCACTGAATCCTCACCTCAACACCTATGAGGCAGGTGCTAGTCTCCTCATTTACAAAAGCAAACACCTGTGTTTTAATTTTTTTTTTTTTTAAATATTTTTATTTCTAGGAGAGAGAGACAGAGTGAACAAGGGAGGGTCAGAGAGAGAGAGACACACACAGACTGTGAAACAGGCTCCAGGCTCTGAGCTGGCAGTCAGCACAGAGCCCGACGCGGGGCTCGAACCCACAAACCGCGAGATCATGACCTAAGCGAAAGTCGGATGCTTAACCGACTAAGCCACCCAGGCGCCCCAATTTTTTTTTTTTTTTTAATGTTTATTTTTGAGAGGGAGAAACAGAGTTCAAGTGGGGGCGGGGCGGGGGTGGGAATCTGAAGCAGGCTCAGGCTCTGAGCTGTTAACGCAGAGCCCGATGCCGGGGCTCGAGCCTATGAAATGTGACATTATGACCTGAGCTGAAGTGAGACGCTCAACCAACTGAGGTGTCCCCAAACACCTTGTATTTTAGTAATTATTCTATGTTAACCTAGTATTGGTACTTAAAAAATAGAACTGATGATATATTCTGTATCATATGATGCCAACAAGGCACTCTCTGTTTTTAATCTCCCTAGAGATTCAGTTGTGGAAATTCTTTTTGAACAAGATAATGAAGAAAAATCAGTTGCCACCTTAATACTGGATTCTCTTATACAGGTATTTTGATTTTGCAAAATGTTTCCATTTATAACTACAGCCCTTTAGAGAAACAGATTTTTTAAGTAATCTCCACACCCAACAGCTTGAATTGACACTTTCAAGATCAAAAGTCACATGCTGTACAGACTGAGCCAGCCAGGTACCCCAAGAACATTTTTAAATGTTCTCTTCTGTGTTTTTATTTTAGCTATTGGTTACAAGTTTAGCTTTTCTGTTAAATTTTACAGTTTCAGAGTTTGACCTTGGCAGTGAAATAGGGTTCTTAACATTTCAAAAGGGATAAGTGCTATCGTGTATTTTTTTCCTAGCAATAGTATCAGAATTTTATTTTGTACATAGTACAGCTTGTAGTTTCTTTAAGTGTAGGTTTGTGTAGTATTGAATTTTAAATTCCATAGGGTATGGTAACATCTCCTTTGTTTAATGACTGGAGTCACAGAACTCCATGTGAAATACCATTGATTTAGAAGATACTGTCTAACTCTGCTCAGAGATTCTTATGAAAACCGTAGCATCGGTAAAAGACTTTAACATTTTAATTTTTAGAACTGATGTGAAAACATAGTTTTTCTAAGAGTGTTATCTTCCCACTTGACAACTGGCTTTGGATATAATACTGTGAAGTTACCACCTTAGAAAAATTAAGTTTGCACATACTTTCCTTACTAAAAAAAGAAATGAAGTTCTTTTATTTCTTCTCTTATTCTTTGCTCCTCAGTTATTCTACCTTGAAAATGAGAACACTCACATGTAACTACCATGCGCCCTGTGGAATTTTAATTTCTAAGCTGTTGGATTTTAAAGTCTTTAAAGTTCTGCATAAGTGCACGGCAATGTTATCATGGTTATATTTGCTGCACGAAAAGCTCTCTTGTTAAACACACCTTGCTGTGCCTTTTTTCTGTGGTAATAGCACTGATCACGTATTTAATTTGTAATACATAATCTGTATGTTTTCTTGAATCCAGTCAAGCATTATTTGTACAGTTAAGGATAAATTCTTTTTTTTCTCTTTCTTTCTCTTTCTCTTTACTAACAGTGCCCAATAGACACCAGAAAGCAGCTTGCAGAGAATCTGGTAGTCATAGGTGGCACATCGATGTTGCCAGGATTCCTCCACAGACTGCTTGCAGAAATAAGGTATCTGGTAGAAAAACCAAAATATAAAAAAGCGCTTGGCACCAAGACATTCCGAATTCATACTCCACCTGCAAAAGCTAATTGTGTGGCCTGGTTGGGAGGTGAGAATTTTGTTTTTATGATATAAATGGTTATATAGTAATTGGTTCCTGAATGGTATTATTAATGGATAAAATAGGTGATTCAGTGTTAAAAATCACTGACTTAACAAACTAATAGAACTATTAAATAATTTTCTTTGAACATTGACTTTTCCTTGAAGTGTTAATTTTCAGAATTATATACCTATTTCTCTTGGCATTGCACTTTAATTTTTTAAGTAAACTTCATCCAATTAAAGTCATTTCTCATAATAGTGATAGTTGCGCCTTAATTCCAATGATGCTGCCATTGCTCAAGACATTTGTTTTAGCTCCTTCTAAAGCTACCTTGTGAGCCATATATGAGAATTGATCTCTTTATTTTATAATTACACTTTATTTTGTGACCAAGTTCATTGAATCATAGTTTATAGGAAATGATAGTTTCATTGAAATAAGGAAATAGCCTATAGATAGAGAGTATATACATATGTACTTTGAAGAGAAAAACAAGCATGGATGTGTATACTTGTATAATTCTGCTACGTGATTAGCTGCTAATTTGCAGCTAATAGATATCTTGAGCATTAGAATAAGTATTGAGATTTTAAATGAGTGTTGCATTTCTTGTAAAGTAGAATTTGGTCAAATGTAATTTTGATTTAGGACAAATAGATTTAGTCACTGCATTATTTTTTTAAAGGCTCCCTTGTGGGTCTTTATGAAGTCTTTAGCATAGACTCGAGTGGCATTATCATGATGATTATTGCGTTTTACAGTGCTATTTTATTTATTAACACACAACCTTGGGATTGTGGCAAAGAAAAGTTAAAGTATTATTTATTGTATTTACATAGAACTGAAATTACTTTCAACCCCACTCTACCCTCACCTGCCTTTAGACACAGTAATGCTTGTTAGCATGCTCACTGTAATCGCTGTAGGCTATTTAAGTCACTTTCGACACAGGAATTGTGGCTTACCCTGTTATTCAAAATATAGGATCCAAAACAGCTGAAATTGATTTGAGGAATGAATATGCATTGCTGAATTTCACCATTTCTCTGTTGTCATATAATGAAGTGAATGTATGTGTACATACATTTTTTTTTTAAACCACACAGGAGCTATTTTTGGAGCACTGCAAGACATACTTGGAAGCCGTTCAGTCTCAAAGGAATATTATAATCAGACAGGCCGTATACCTGATTGGTGTTCTCTTAACAACCCACCTTTGGAAATGATGTTTGATGTTGGAAAAGCTCAGCCACCTCTGATGAAGAGAGCATTTTCCACTGAGAAATAAGTTTGATTAAAATTCAGCTTTGCTTCAGATCAAGTATCTACTCAATTATAAGCAAATTGTGAAGTATATAGGATACTGTTAGAGATGACTTTATGGAAGTGAAAACATTTCTGTAATTACCTTTTGCATTAAGATTCTTTTGACTTTTGTTTTTCTTGTGTAATGGTAAAATGGTCGCTGATGCTTATGAAATTCGTTGTATTTATATCAATAAAATATAGTAAAACAGCTTAATTTTGGAAGTTTGTTACATAGTTTAGTTTCAAAAAGAATATAACATTTTCCCTCCATTTTCCGCCCGCAATTCCCATAATCTGACCTGAGCATTGGAGAATCCATTAGTTTCATTATTTTCGGCAATTATTTCAAGTATAAATAATGTTACCGTTACCAGGTATTTAAAATGTTAACATGGGTCTGTTTCATCAGATTCTTTTGTTTTGGTATTTATGTGTCCATGTTATAATGCTGCTTTTCCAGGAATACGTTTGACTCTTTGGACTGAGAATGTTTAGTAACATAGTTAAAACATTTGTTAAGCAAAGTGTGCAAATGTTCACTTTCTAACTTTATATAGTCTCTTTATGAACAATTCTACATTTCTAAGAAGAAAGAGATTTCATTTTTTTGCAGAGACATTCCATTTTATGTATTTTTATGTAAGTGCTTTATAAACGTGTATTCATAATGTTTTAATCTCTTGTGCTTTTTATCTTCTCAGGATGGGGATGCTTGGAAATACTCAGTCATTGTTTAATTTTTATTTTTGTTCTTCATTTGTTTTTAACAAACTACTTCTTATTGAAAATTTGATTTTATTCTTTCCACGTGCCTTTGAAAATTGTACACCTATTCCTGAAAAATGTACTCATGTTCCTGAAGACAGAGTAGGAATTGATACATTTTCTGAACTATATATCCCATGTCCATTCTTACTCATAGTTTAATAATTTTGATTGTTCTTTTCTGGGTCCTTCCTGGTTTTGCCATATGTTTTTTGTGTGAAGGCATCAGCACCAGCTAATACTTGAAAGAGCTGGTTCCTGGCATGAAGAATAGGAAAGAGTGTGTGTGTGTGTGTGTGTGTGTGTGTTTAAGAATACTTCTGGCTATACTTCATCTCCATGTACCTAGTATTAGCACAAGACTAAGACTCAGCATTTATTGGGCTGTCTGCTTTGTAGCTAGTATGGTTTTAGACACATAGATGCCACAATAATAAGATCTGAACTTGCCCTTCGGAGGTTTTCAGTGTAATAGAAGTGGATGGGACACAGCTGATGACACAGACAGAATGTGGTAGCAGCCATAAGGACATCAGTTTCTTATGTTGAAGAAAGATTCATAGAGGAGGCTCTTGCTCTTGTTCGTGAATGCTGAGTAGAATTTTAATATCTGGAGTTATTCTAGTCAATGTGAACTGAATTCTCCACACAAGATCTTAAAACATTTGGCATTGAGATGAGGCATTGCTAATTATAATTTAGGATGAGGTCATGAAGAACTTGAAAAACATATTAAAAGCAGCAGATAAAACTATGAAAGTCAATTTTGTCATCCAGTTTCTTAATAGATTCCTTCTGGAAAGTGAGATTCTTTAATCCTCTGGACCTGCTACTCTTCCACAGCACCCTTTCCCTAAAAGTAGTCATCTTCCTCATAAGCACAGATATCTCTATCTCTATAACCCATGCACTTAAACTTTCACCTTGTAATTGATTCCACACAGGTTTTATCTTCCTTCTTTTCTGGAATATAAGCTCCATGAGAACAAAGCCCCTTTATTTGTCAGCTTTGAAACCTCTCAGTGGGATTGCCAGCAGTAGGTATACCATTAGTTGTCAATAGTACGGATTCACTATTGACTTCAAGAGATTTTTTTTTTTAAGTTTCTTTTTTTTTTGGTTTGGTTTTGAACAAGACCACGAGAGTGAGGGAGAGGCAGAGAGAGAGAGAGAGAGAGAGAGAGAGAGAATCCCAAGCAGGCTCCACACTGACAGTGCAGAGCCCAGTGCAGGACTTGGACCCACAAACTGCAAGATCATCACCTGAGCCAAAATCAAAAATTGGATGCTCATCCGACTGAGCCACCCAGATGCCCCATGATCTCACTATTGTAGTAACATTATCTTTTTTGTAGTAAACAATTTTTTAAATTTTATTGAATTTGAATTATTTATGAGAAGTTTTTCAACACTGAATAATATGAAAAATAAGATCTCTGACTGAAATAGCACTTTATAGGCAGTTAGCTATAAAGTGATAGACACCTACCAGTTGAGTTTAAGGAATGGAGACCCCTGTTAGGGGTTGAGCTGTGTGCTGCAGCAGGGTAACATTGAAGTCCTAACCTCCAGTACCTGTGAATATGACCTTACTTGGAAACAGGGCCTTTACAGATGCAATCAAATTAAGATGTCGTTATGGTAGACCCGAATCCCATATGACTGGTATTCTTCTAAGATGAGGAAAATGCCATGAGACAGATACACAGGGAGAAAACAAGTATTAATTAACTAGGGCAGCAATTGGAGTTCTGCAGCTGCAAGCCTGGGACCACCAGTGATTGCTGGTGACACCAGAAAGCTAGGAGAAAGAAGCCTACAGCAGGTTCATTTCCATTGTTTTAAGCCACCAGTTTGTGGTACTTTGTGATGGCAGCCCTAGGAAACTAATATACCCTGCTTAATTCAACAGTTCAGCATGTATTTATTGAACATCTGCCAGGTGCTAATTTAGGTGCTTGAGTTACATTAATGAGCAAAGACAAAAAGCTGTCATTCCAAGGGGTAGAGAAAGTAAAGAATCACTAACAGTAAGTTAGAAGGTAAGAGCAGTTATGGTGAAAACAATGTAGGGTAAAGTGGGTGGTGGGGAAGTTGCGGATTAGAACAGTGGTTGGTCTCATTTATGATTTGAAGAAAAATTAGGCAACTGTGACCTAATTTATATTTGGCCTCTGCCCCTGGTTGCTGACACAGATTACACCAAATGCCCAAGAATTTTTTGGGTAATAGAAGTGGTTTTTTCCTAATGAGGCAATGCCTAGTGGGCTCCTGGATCACTTCAGGATGAGGGCTGGTCACCAGAAAGACCCAAGCCATGGATCCAAAGCTTAGAGCTTTCAGGGCCCCTGGGTGGCTCAGTCGGGTAAGTGTCCAGCTTCAGCTCAGGTCATGATCTCCTGGGTTGTGAGTTCCAGCCCAGCATCCAGCTCTGTGCTGACAGCTCAGAGCCTGGAAGATTCTGCTTTGGATTCTGTGTCTCCCCGTCTCATGCTCATGTAGTAATAAACGTTGGAAAAATTAAAGAAAAAAAAAACAAAACTTAGAAGTTTCACATGCACGGATACCCGGAAAAGGAGAGGGGCAGGAAATTGAAGCCTCCATTTAAGATCTCAGCCCTACTACAGAGTTCAGAGAAGGAAGCCTTATGGAAGGAAACCTTATGGAAGGTCTGGGCTTCCGCATACCTTGCCTTACGCACCTCTTCTCAACATGGCTGTTCTGAATTGTATCCATAATAAACCAGTAGTAAGTAAACCGTTTTCTAGAGTTCTGTGGGCTATTCTGGGAAATTATCAACCTGAAGGCTTGTGAGAATCCCGGATGGATAGTCACCTGGTCAGAAGTGCGGGAGGCCTGGTCTTGCTGTTGACTACCCACAGAATACCCACTTTAGACAAGTTGGTCACTCTCCCAGCTGGAAACAGCAAACATCCTCTTGCTAAATGAGTGACTTTATCACTTTCAACGCTCTCTCTCCTGTGGTCTGCTCTCCCTATAGAGAAGTTTTATTAAGATCATAGACTTGCCCTTAAGAACATCCAATCCGGAAGGGGCTCTCCCTTGTAAGGACTCCCACTCCTGCAAAATTATTCAAGTAAAGCCCAGATCCTATAATAGGTTCTTCCTAACACTTTCTTAACAGACACCCCACATCCCTCCATGCAATGTGTATTGAAGCAAATATTTTTTTTTTTATTTCCTGAAGGGGGATTGTCGGGGTTAAGAGATGGGAGAATGGTGAGCACAGAGGACTGCAAAGAAATAGAATGGTAGCCTGCGGGGAAACTAGGTCAGAGTTTTTATTCTGTTTTAAAATAAAGAAATAACAGATCGTTTGTTGGGGGGGGAGGGACACGAGGGAAAAACTGGTCGTTTGGTAGGAGGAAAGCCGGTGGCTAGCACGCGGGGGTAGGGGCGCGGGTGCTGCGGCTGCGGTGGGCCTGCGTTAGGAGCGGGGCTCGCCCCCTCCCCCCACCCCGGGCGGGGTCCGGCGCTGCGGGAACGAGCTTCCTGCCCGCGGTCCCGCCGCGCGCGCGTCCGTCTGTCTCTTCAAACATCTCAGTGAAGAAGGCGGAAATCCTGCCTCCCCAGATACCCAACTGCCTCTCCGAATGGTCACATCTCCGTTCTTGTGTGCCTCTCTGCCAAGGGCCTCACCTTTAACGGAATACTAAACTTCATTTCCACCCAATTGGGTGGATGGATCCCGAGTACAGTCCCAGGAACAAGGGAAGAAAACGTGAAGTAGGCACCGCCAGTGTACAGCCGACCACGGAAAGAAACGTTTCTCACGGTGGATTTATTTCTCCAAGGGATAGTCCTCGCTCGCCCCCCGCCCCTCTCCTTAGGACACGCCCCATACGGAGAGGAAGAATTAATAAACCTAAATGTGAAAGAAAGACATTTTCTTTGAAGTCCTCCCCCACCTATCCCCCCGCAGCTGCTTTTACGTAGGATCTGTTAGTTCTTGAAAAGCCGCCAAAATTGGGATTCATAATATTGTTCTGATAAAAGGAAAAACTGCCCTGTACCAGCAACGATGCAAGTATGCATGGGAACACGGAAAACCAGTCTCAACTTTAAACTGTAACCTTTCAGTTTCCTCTGTGCTTTTAAGGAGGTGGTTCAGCATCGCTGAGAGCGTTTGATTTCAAATGTGGAAGCGTAGCTTGAGACCGATTTCGTTTGCAAAATGGTCTTTTTTCCATAGATTTGCTTAATACATTAATTCAGTTTAAAGAACTCTTCTTAGATACGATTATTTGGAGGAACCCCAAAATACTTAAAGGGGAAAGAAAGAAAATCAGAGCCCAAAAAGCATCTTACGCCCAACGTGGGGCTCGAACCCACGACCCTGGGATTAAGAGTCCCATGCTCTACCGACTGAGCTAGCCGGGCGCTTGCACAACAGCTGTGTTTTTTTGTCCCTTGATCAGTATTCAACTACATTTGATTTTTGTTTCCCAATATTATTTTTCCTTATAAAAATTTTTATATCATATTATTAAATATGCACTCCCGAATCATTTTTAAAAATTCTTTAAAAACATTTTAAAAAATTTTACTTACATGTAATACTTTTACTGCATGTATATCCCAAGATCACTGAAAACTTACATGAGTCTTTTATTAGAATCATTGAAACTTTTAAAAGTGTTTTAAAATACTTACTGCCCAATATGTTATGTTCTTTACAAAAACGCTTAATTAAGGCTATCTGCCTTCTATCAAATGGCAAATTGGATTCCTACAATTTGGGGCGCAGCATTAGTAAACTAAGTCCAAGCTCTGTGACTTTAGTTTCACGGAAGAACAGAAGCGTTTAGCTATTTTTCCTTTAATACGATCTAGTCGAGGAAAGTTAAATTGAAGAAGGGGATTCTGGTTCAATTAAAATAAGGTCTGTCT